TATGAAATAACCTCGAGAAAAATTTTGTATACAATAAATATGCAGAAATTGTATTTTATATTCATTATTATATGTGCGATTTTAATTTTATTGTGTTTAGCCCCTGTCCTCTCCATTGAAAAGTTCAGGGCACGTGACATGCCGCTATACGTACAAATATTATGGAAGGTTCAATAATAATAGTTCTGTTTGTAACGTTATCAATTTTTAATTCAACGTTACACTTGGTATTCAAAATATGCGATTCGATAGTATGTATACCTATATGTCTTTACGTTTAAAATAATGGAATTTTCTACGCGGCCATTGATTAACTTCATAAATCATTTTTTTTTTTTTTTTTTATGGTTTGTTGGCGTATATGTAGAGGCGGCGTATTACATTAGAGCATATTTTCTTGTTAAATGATTTAAAAATGTCTTATATTAAATACATATATAAAGTGAAAAAAAAAAAATCCAAAACGACATTCACAATGTTTTAATTACTTATGAAAATTATTATGATTGGAATGTTAGACGTAGTTATAGTAGTTTTAGTTTATGACTTCTCGTCGGGACCAATAATATATGAGTATAAATCATAATATGATTACGTGTTGGACGAACCGAGCGCATATTATTTTAACTACACGGTGTATACCTTATAAAAACTGGATTATTCTTTGACAAGATCTGAACTTGATGTTAAATCAACTATATATAGTATGTACAGTAAGTACCTGTACACTTTACACGCAGCAAGAGCCGACTCGCCGCAGCGAGCCAATTACATGTAGTAAAATTCTAATATATTATTGTAACTATAAATTTTTTATAGAGCTTGAATTTATTGGCACTAAAAACCATGAAATATGCTCTTCAAAAAATGAAGTTAACACGGGAAAAAGGGTAGAAGTATATTTTTGAAAATAAGTAAAACCTCTCTATACAGTCGCAAACAATAATATATTTTATCCGGTGCATCTAATAGTTTACCTTTAATATTCTCGAAATGAAACTTTTTTTCATTGAATGGAACTCAACATTCGATAGTAGTCACAAAACACCGCGTCAAGTGGTGCTAGTAATAAAAATTTAAAAAAGGTAAGATAATGGGAACGGCTGCAGCCACTGGTGTAGGTGGAAAGTTAGGAAGATAGGATATAGACGGAAATTTAATATTTACAAGGTGATTAATTTAAGTGGATACACTCATTATCTCAAAAAGTATTACCTTTTTTTTGAATTTGTTTTCAAGAATATTTAAGAAATAACCAACAGTAGTATAAAATAGAGAGTTCTACCCCAGGAGCAGGAGCAGGAGGAAGGACGAAGTGCTATACCTAATACATGGCCGCCCGAATGGCCTACCAATTCACAGACCATTTAGGTCACGCCCACTTTCGACATTATTACCACACTGTTATCACGGTTATATCTGCTGTTATCACAAGTTATATCTTTATAGTTACTCTTATCAAGGTTATCATATCACGATTATACCTACTGTTATTACAAGATATACCTAATACATATATCGGTATACCTACTGTTAAAAGTGTACCAAAAGTGTATACTTCTTAAAAGGCTCTTTTAAAAAATTGTTTATAAATATTTACAACACCAGAGAAAAACTTAGAGAAGAAGGATACGTTTTAATTCCGTTTAACGAAATGATATTAATAATCCTCCCGACAAAAGAAACTATTATAACATTTAATACTAATGAAGTCACTACATTTATTTAATGGCAATTCGTTCGCTAAGGTGGAAAATGTTCAATTTGTTTCGAAAGTATTACGAGATATGGATGATTTACCTTTTAATCAAAACGATATATAAAAAATCGAAGAAATAACCATGCAAGAAATAAATGGCTATGTTAAGTTCGTTAAATATTGCAGTTCGATAACCTGGATTCATTGTATGTGTCAAATTTCTGGTTGGAGAAAGAAATGTCAGATGTTAATATAAATTTAAATTATAAGATAAAAATTAAGATGGATAGAATTAAAACTACTCCTAGTAAAAATAAAGAAAGGCAGGTTTTTTGTGTGTAATAATGTATAATATATGTATAAATATTTTGTATTGTTAAAAATAATAAATAATTATTTACCTATTTAAATTTTGTCTTTTTATTTAAAAAAAAAAAAAAACTTCCATTAAGGTTATATAAATATAGCATAATACTTAAAAGTAATTGAAAGTATAGTAAGGTTACTTTCTTACCTATATGATAACAGTAGATATACCGATATATGTATTAGGTATATCTTGTATTAACAGTAGGTATAACCGTGATGAAATAAAATATTTCGCAGAGTATGTCGTACTGTAAACAATTTTTTTATCTGAAAATTCATTCCGACACTTCTACACGAAACTCGACATGGTACGGTAAAACTATGAACATCGTAATAATCGCGGAATTTTCAAAATAATATGTTTGACCGGACTTTGCTCAGAATCGATGTTCGTTAACCACGATTTGTCGTTTAAATTAAATTATACGCTTTACATGTTCTACCTTGCTGACTTCCCGCCCACAATACAGTGACAGTATCAACACTTTTTATTTAATAATTGCGACGTCAAAAAGCGCGGAAAAAAAACGTGTTATCATTTCATTGTTGAACCGAGGTCTTCAATATTCTAATCGCTATTATCGTCTCCCGAAATCGAATAACTGTAATATCATTACATTCAACACACCTGCAATTCTTTTTTCAGACCGAAAACTTGCCACCTGACGACGTTTCAAACGAATATTGTCAGTCGTGATAGTTAGTAATCGCTTTTTTTGTTTACCGACCGGCCCTATAAAAGCGCTCGTCTCTCACTATTTCAATTACTTCTGGATTTTTGATTTTTTCGGTGTTTGTTTTTTTTTTTGTTTTTATAATCTTTTTGCTCGCTGCAAAATAATAACATTTGCTTTCGTTCCATCAAGACATCGGTGGTATCGGTGGTGAGTACCGGCTAATAAACAACGCAGAATAAAAAATTTTAAACGCCAGGTTTTATTAACACGGGGATTCGTGAGTATGATCAATACTACGATCGTTTACGGCTTGAACTCGACGCCAGGTCCCGGAAAGCAAGGACACTACCGGTGACCACCAGAAGGCATCTAAGCGACATCGCTACAGCGATTCACGTTCGAGCAAGAACGATTAGCTGCGGTAGTGAAAATCGAGAGCGGATATTTTTTAGCGCGATCAATGATCGTAATTTCACGTGTATTGCATCCCGTTTAGGCATTGGCACGTGCGACACACGCGAAGTCATACGCGAACCTTTGCGCGGACATAATTAACAGCGGCTTCGACGGCGCGCGTCCCGGGATCCGGACAGGCGTTTCGGACCGCACTGCTACCGATATGCCACGACAATATGAAACAGTCTCGGGATACTACGGCGGTACCGACACAAAAACAATAATAATATTGAATTCCGATTCCCGTATACAGTAATGTATTGCGTTATAAATACGTTTTAGGCGACGCGATTCGAGGAGAAACGCGCGTCGGATCGTCAAATCGACTATTTCTCAACAAACTGCGTGTACGTTTACGATATCGAAAAATATAATATTGCATTATACCGCGAACGTTTTTTTTTTAAATCTCATTTGATGCTGTTTACGTGTGTTCCGTCGTTCTACAGGTTTATCGGTGAACTCTACAAACTCGGCGTCTATCCCGCAGTTGTTGTATGGTCGTTCATAAACAAACTGTTTGAACAGACACAGTTGTGGTGTACAAGTCCGATGATGCTTGTGCGCTCTCTTGACGTCGGCCGCACCGAAATTGTCCGAGATAAAATACGCATGTTTAAAAAAACAAATTTAATTAAATAACATCATGAATCGTGCGCTCGACATCAATGCGTAACTAATAATCAATGACCCATAGACCTACACTATGACGACCGCCGTGTCGTGTTGAAAACGAAAAACACTGTAAACGAAATCGGGCAAACATACTGGACCGACCGGATTCGTGAACGTATGGTTATTAATAATTAATTTTTGAAAATTCTCTCCCGAATCGATCACTGAATATACATATGGAAATACAAACGTCGAATTTGTTTTGCGGTTGAAATGAAAATTCTAAATTTTTGAGGCATTTTTGTTTTTTTTCTATCGATCCGTACAACACGAAGGTGTAAAACGTTTACAACTCTATACGACATTATAATTTTTTTTTCTCCTTTTACTTTTGAATGAAAAGTTGGTAGTTTCGATTTGAATTTTTGATTGTTTGTACATTCTTCGTTTGAACAGGATTTCAAAGCCATTTTCGATCGCTGCGAAACTGAATTGTTCTAATCTCTATATAGTTTCCTCAATCTTGGTCCTAGGAGAAACCGTATACGAAATAATTGCAGCATTTTTTTTTTTTTTTTTTTTGTTTTAATTGATATTTTATAATATCGTGTAACAGGTCTAGACAAGCCGGCCGAGCAAAAACTACTCGTCAATAAGGAATGTTCTTTCGAACCGTCCGATGACAATTTACAAACCGCAGAATTGACGCACGCCGATACATTGGAAACACTTTTGAAGGTGGCCAACAAACTACATACCGAGGAATCCTACACAAGTTAAAATACGTTTTTATAATGGTACGCGCGGCAGTGTCGCACTACCGTAAAAAAAAAACCGGCCCGGAAAAACGATTTTACTCTGCCGGTTCCGAAAGCCTATAATATTATATACATTTTTTTTAAAATTGCACAGGACATTGAACAAAACTGTTAACGACATTTTTAATCTCGTTGTTGAAACGTGATCAGGTGAGCCTGATCATTTCGCTGAATCGTGCGGCGTTCGATAACGGAGACGAGAAAATGCCGTACCGTCGCCGGCGTATTGTCGACCGACCTCGTAAACGCGGGCCGACTAACGAAACGTACCCCGTTGTCAAAGGGTACCATATTTAAACAATATCATTATTTTTGTACCTGTTTTGTAGTTGACTAACTCCGATCTCAATATCCGAATACTTATTTCGGGTTTCACGTAACGCTTAAGGCCAAAGAGGTCAACGAGCGATGTACCGGATTTGATACAAGAAATTAGAAACGCGTTCGAAGACCGTTTAATTGAAGCACATCCGGTAAAAGAAACTTTTTACGGAGCTAATGGGACCTCCCAGTGGTTCGACTGCAGTTCAAACAGACGAACGATTAACGTCAAAACTAACTCTGATCCAAACATCCAAATATCTGTTTTAGGTACTGCAAGATACTCGTCGACGACGCATCCAGTGAATACTTCACTGACATACCCGAATTACTAGCGACTATGCGCACAGCGTTCGAAAACGAATTGTAATCGTACATTTTTTTTTTTTTTTATACGGAAGCATAAACTTCATTGTCACAATTTATCGGAATATTCAATTTTCGATTTCCTACTGTTGCATTTGCTATTACCATTACCTATATAATTTTGCATGTATAATTTTTTTCTTTTATATCTATTTCATTATTCGTGATTTATTCGTTTTTGTTTTTTTTTTTTTTATTTTTTTTTTTTTTTTTTTTGTATGGTCTATTGATAATAAAAAAAAATTGTTTACCACTATTTTTTTTGACGTTGTGTTTTTTACAAAATTAATAATTTTATTTTTCGGTTAATATTTTGAGGGTATAAGGTTCAAATAAATTTTAGGTAATTTTTTTTTCTTTTTTATGTAATTTAAAATGTATTATTGATATTGGCAAGATACTATCAATTAGAATCAATGGCAGTCAAATTGTATGATTTTCAAGAAAAAGCAAAAATTGAACAATTTACTTCTCATACTATATTGCGAAAACCGATTTTCTTTTATCTTGAATAATTATTTACAAATACATAGAATGTCCAACAGAGATCTGATTGAGGCAATAACTTTTGTTCGGTTAGCAAAGGAACTATTGGATTTACTAAGATGTCTTCTAGTCTGTGGACACGTTTTTTTCTAGTAAAATTGCTCCGATTTTTATATGTAGCAACTTTTCTGAAAGTTGTCTATATGGTACTTTAGAGAGGTGATTGATTGTCAACGTTTTTTTTTAAATAAAAGCACATAAGTGGAAATATACGCAGGAAAGCGTACAATTCCACGATTTCATTATTTTATAAAAACACGGACGAAGTTTTTTAAAAGAAAAAATGTTCCTACCTATCGAAAAAAAAAAATTAAAACTAATTCTCTCGCGACGTGACGGGGCATAATAAAAGAAATCTTACCTTTATCCATTTCGAAATCCGTGTCAAGTGCCGCAAGCAACTCGCCGTCGTCTTCAAAGTCGCTCCCCCGTGCGTCTTTGTTGGACGGTCCGGCAAGGTCGTCTTTACGCGAAAACATTTTCGGACACAGAGCGCGTTGAAATTTAATTAATACCGTCGCGCGATTTAGCGTGGCGAGTCATATTATTTTTTGCATTAAAAACTTTTCCGCACATTCGGACGTATTCGTTTTTAAACGGGGGGAAACGAACGTTGTGTTACAAGAATTTAAAAATATTTAACACAAAACGAAAGCGACGGGAAAACTGGAAAAGACGAGTGCACCGGTTTGCGGTAAAATCACTACTGACGGTCGGGTGGTTACCGATCCAATACCGACAAAAATCGGTTTACGTTCGCAGAAATAATTTGTGCATGATCCGACAGGAAAACCGAGAACAATACATTTTCTCATACAGGTCCTTACATGCAAGAAACGCACTGTGCACGCTGTCGACTGTGTACACATTTTCCCGTAACAGATTCTCGGAACGACACGCACAATGTCGAGAGGTCGAGAGGTCCGTTGTCGCCAACGATTGGATTTCGTATTATGCGGGAAGCAGGCGACGGGGGTTGTGACGACGGTTATATTCCGCGTAGGTAACAAATTGCGTACGAGTAATATTATTTTGTGAAAATTATAATAATATACGGCGTGAGTGCGCGCGTGTGTAACACGGACGGGGCAGATACATTTCGCACAGGTATACGAAATACTTGCCGTGTGATAAGATACGTTCAAACATCGTCTTGTGATAACGGCAGGTATACGCCGATATATGTATTAGGTGCGTGTCGTAATAACAGTAGGTATAATCGCGATCAAATAAAATACGGTATAACTTGTGATAACAGCAGGTTTAACGATATATGTATTAAGTATGTCTTGTAATACAGTAGGTATAATCGTGATAACACAGTGTGGTAATAATGTCGAGAGTGAGCGTGACCTAAATGGTCTATGAAGCGGTGGGCAATTCGGGCGGCCGTGTATTAGGCATAGCATCCTTGATCCTTGATCCTGATCCTGATCCTGGGGTAGAACTCTCTATTTTATACTGTTACCAGCGTATACAGTTTTATATTTATGTTATTTTTTGTAAACCTTATTTTTGGAGGTAAAACCACTACCTACTTTTGATTTTCAAATGGTAACCTATATTTGAAAGACCATAAATATATGGAGTATTAGTTAAAATAAATTTTAGTGTTGACATGTTTGATTTCTGTCAAGCCATTGACGAGATATTCCACTTTTAAGTTTGAGTTGGAGGAGAGCAGTGGAGTGTCACTTGTGTGGCGGTACGGCGTGCGACGCGTTGAGTGCACCACTACTCTTCTCCTGCCCAAACTTAAAAGTAGATTATCTCGTCAACAGACCAACGGAAATTAAAAATGTCAACACTAAAATTTATTTTAACTGATACTCCATATATTTATGGACTTTCAAATATAGGTTGCCGTTTGAAAATCAAAAGTAGATAGTGGTTTGACCCCCGAAAAAATAAGGGTTATAAAAAATAATATAAACATAAAATTGTAGTGCTAATTGTTTCTTAAATGTTATAGAAAACAAATTCAGGAAAAATTTAATATTTTTCGAGATAATGAGTGTTCCCCTATTTAAATGAATCACCTGGTAACTGTAAGCAACGATAAACCATTGCTTACGGAAAAACGATTAAGAGCAAAGTTCAGTGGACGCTCTGTCAACAACATATATACTATACATAAAATATTGTGTAAATGTATACACAATATTACGAGACTTTTTTTTAATTAATTAGCATAATGTAATATGACGAACCAGAAAAATCAGTAATGATAATCAAATATTTAAAATAATTTTGCAAATACAACAAAAATGGTATAAAACCAAAATTAATGAACAAACAACGAGAACATATGTAACCAAATTATAAGCTTCATTTTGTCTTATGCAAAAATGTATAATAAGTTAAATTATTACACCATTAGGAATTATTTTGTTCTCACACCGGAGTGCTGTAAAAGTCTAGAATTTAAAATCAAGAAAATAAAAACTCTGAGTGTAAGAATAGCGAAATTTAATAAAAACGAATGGTTCCCAGTATAATATAGGTTCAAAGTGGGGGAGACGGCTCACTTTACTTGCCAATTATGAGTTTATGTCGGAGATTGCTTATCGAAAATAAATCCCGATTTGTTATACAAAACCACGTTTGGTAGGTAACAGGTGAAAAAAATTGAAAACATCTGCTATACAAAGTAACAAAATGAAACTTAGTATTTTCCTACGTTTTGCATTTCCTGACGAAAATTGTCCCCACTTATACGCGTCCTCTTCACACCAACTTGAGTCAATGTTCACTTGTTTCCTTCAATTTCGCGTTTGCTTTGATTTAAATCGAAAATACTTAAATTGATTTATTTCAGATAGCTATACATTTTTTAAAAACATCGGTAATATTATATTTTTAACACATGTAGTACTGTTAATCGAATATTTTTGTCTAGATTTTTTTTAAGGTATGTACCTACATACTCTAGACGTATGCACACAAATAACTGAAATTTAACAAGCATTACATCTGATGACTATGGTTAGCATTTTTTACGTTACTTTTTTAAGATTTAACATAGTTTGCCAAAATGACTACAAATGTCCAACTGGCACAGCGACTATGTTATTCGATTTATCGACGTACCTCCTGTAGTATAATACGATTTCGAATTATGCCATCATCGTCCGATTCACTCTATACATAATATACAAAGGGAGAAAAAAACCACCTAATAAAATGTGCATTTTTATTTTGTGTATACTATATACGTCACTGCAATATCAAAACATGACATATTTTGAGCAGTTTAAGAACTGACAAAGCCGGAACGTGACTTTTTATTCACCCGGGGACTTTTCTGATGCTCGATAAATTAGAAATTCAAATTATATTATGTACAACAGTGCCGTAACAAACTTACAACCCTCTGGTGCGTTCTCACCATCTCCACCATACAATAATTGTATGGTTTTAATACAGAGCAAGGAAACATAACGCGTCGTATTATATTATCTACTAGTTTTCTTCTTCTTCATCGTCTGCACCCCTCCTGGATACTCCTAGGTTAGGTAAGGTTAGGTTAAGTTAGGTTAGGTCCTTATCTATTATCATTTCTTCATCTGCCTTCATTTCGATTTTTAAAATAGGATTATTTTTAGTTAGGTTTTTAGTTCAAATATATCGAAGTAAAACCTTAAGAAGAATAAAAAAAAAATCACCGTTTATACTAAAACGTCTTAAGTCACAAAATGATATAATAAAAATAATAATAATAAAATAGATTTAATATTTTGACAGTAAAACAATTTATTATACAACAATATGAGTTTCCATTATTAATTTAATCTAAGTTGTAATAATATTATGAACACAACAATTGATCTTTGATAACAAATTTAAAAAAAGATTTTATGGCGCGACATACTTTCTAACTATACAAGACGAGTTACAAGTTACAAAAAATATTTTAAAATAGTTTTTTCTTGTTGTTGGTTTGTTTACACTTGTTTTTATATGTATTTTTGAATTGTAAACATATTATTTATAGTTGATACGACAGTGATTTATAAGTAAACTACAAACAAATAAACGCTTTGAATTTAACCGTGCTTAATAAAATATACTTTTATTTGTATGAAGTCGTAAAAAAAAATCGTTTTATCTGGTTTCACCGATGCCGATTCTATTAGGTTTAATATCATATTATGTATTTTAGAAATATAAATAACATTAATATATTAATATTGTTAGCATGACAATTTATTTGAAGAGTGATTTATACGTACTTGTAACCAGCCCCCCTTCCCCATTCAACTTTTTGTACTTTTTCCTTCGCCAATATTTAATATGTGATTTATATGAAATTGTACGCCCAATGCCAAAATTTGTATGGATTCCCTACCCTGTATTAATCAAGAAAATCCTATCTCAAGCCGAAGACATGCATGTACCCCTTCCCCCCCGAGTCATACAGTTTACTTTTCG